GGGTGCTCGGTGATCATCAAGTGTATTGGTATGGTTCCCGCAATCACTTGTAACCAGTGGCGTATCTGGCTACTCACTCTGGGGGGGGTAATCCAATTTAGGAAAAGGTAGGTAGGTACAACAGAAAAAATAGAATTTTTCTGAACTTATATTATATAAAAAAGTATAAAACAAACATCAACATGAAATAAAACAAAACAGATCACAATAAAAAAGGAACATCATGTAAATAATGACTAGGTATACACATACATAAACCTAATGATGAGTATCATTGAGAATAAAAATAAACAAAACAGCCACTAAATATTGGGTAATTTATTTAGAGTTGTAGTTTTATTTCTTCCGCCATATTTGGCAAAAATTGCGCAATATTTGCATATAACTCCATTAAGTGAAGCTGAATAAGCTAACCAGTTGAAACTGTCAAAATGTTTTTTAGACAAGTAGCATTTAATTACTTTCTGTTTTTTTACGGGCGTTGAAAATGGATAAACAAAATTTTTATCGGGCACAAAGGCATATTTTAAAAGCTTATATTTCTGTTCATCTGATAGTGTTTGGTTCATGAAAATACCTAAATCTAAATCCAACCCTTGCAAATTCTCATCTAACACTAAAGAATTAGCACCATGACAACCTTGTGAGCTTTCAGTATCTGAATGTGCCTCAACGTGACCGCTACTGCTGCTGCAAATAGTGCTACTGGAATTGCTAGCAATTATCTCTAACTCTGAGGTCGGCGACTTATGTTCATTCATTGCGGGTAATATTTTCGATTTTGATATCAGGAACGAGTCCAAGGTATTTTTTCTCTTACTCATTATGAATTGTTGGTGCAGGATATGCTCATGCTCATACGGAACTAGAAATAACTGATAAAGTAATATAATAAATAATATACCTATATTTGTTTATACTTTACATCACGAGTGTTTGCAGTGTGGGCTCTTATGAGTTGCTACAGCAACACATAGTAAACAAGCCATAAGATATCTGCAAAGTCCGGTGATATAACGTATATGTCACAAAAGTCAAAAGATCAGTACCCACACCTACCTAATAAAAACTAAAATATAAAATAGTTTAATTCAGTTTACCTATTTCTCATTCGCTGGTGCCGGTACACACAATATTATAAGGCTGACTTATTTAATCAATCAGAACATTAAGATTGAAAGAACAGAAGAAAAGTCATTACTCAGGCCTTCATTAACCAACGGACGGACGGCTACTGCCGGAGCCGGAGTGCCGCTAGTGGCCACTGCACTGACTGACGGTGACTACACACACGTTACACGTTACGTTAAGGCATAGACTACAGAAGATAAACTAGTTGAATACTCAAAGGTAATGGGTAACCTATGTCTGGTCAAAGATAAATATATTTAAATAAATCAGATGTTGCGCGCGGTGTTCGACGAGTAGGGTAGGTAATACCACCCGTATCTGTGTCCTGGTTATGAATTTATTAAAACGATAACCACAACTTTTTTTTTTAATATTTTTTGAGAATTAATGAGGGGCTCTGGGGGGGGGTAATTACCCCCTTTACCCCCCCCTCAAATACGCGCCTGCTTGTAACGCTTTTGTTGACACTGTTCTGTATGAGCTTGCTATTCTTGTTGCGGCCTCTCTTTGTGCGCTTTCGATCAACCTCCTGTAGTTCGCTTTTTCAACCCAGTCCTTCCATGCAGGGGCTACATACAGAATGCTAGAGTTTATTACGCTGCTGAGGATCCTTCTTCTCCTTGCTTTAGGTCCACCGATATTGGGCATAAGTCGGCACAGTGCAGCTACCACTCTCTCTGATTTTTCCACTTCCTTAATGTGTTGACTCAGACTCATATTTTGTCCTATCTGTAACCCCAGATATCTCAGGGACTTTGCTGAGTCAATTTCCAAATTTCCAGTTTTGATTTTGATTTCATTCAAGGTCCTTCTGCCAGATAATATTACACCTTCGGTTTTTTGAGGTGCTAGTTCCAGTCCTCTCTCAGCCATCGGGATTTCAATCCTCCCAATTGTCCATTCTATACGTCTCTCGATGTTCTCTCTGTTTTTTCCGCGTACTACCAGCGCGAGATCGTCAGCATATCCAATGATTGATACCCCATTTGGCGTTTAAATTCTCAGAATGTCGTCGTAGTATGAATTCCACAACTTTGGTCCAAGAACAGACCCTTGTGGGACTCCGCATGTCATAGCCATTTCACCCACCAGTATCATTCTTTCTTCTAGATATTGCCGGGCGAATACCACCCCTCCACTGCGACCCCGGATGGGTCTATTGTCAACCCCCCCTAGAGGTTACAGCTCACTGTGCAATCCACATCTTTTTACAAAGTCCATAGTTGAATTAGGTGAGATTTTTCTTGAATCGATAGGTTTCAAATTGATGAAGCCAAATATGTCGAACCCCAGTCTCTCTAAGCAAGAGCATGAACATAATGTGTGTTCAGCCGTTTCGTCTTCTACACAGCAGAACCGACAGTCCGTTTGTTGGTTCAGACCCATCCTTCCTAGGTGGTATCTTAAACGACAGTGTCCCGTAAACAGTCCTGTCAGAATTCGCAGTTTACTCCTGCTCCATTCTAGGATCTGCCTGGTTATATTTTTCGATGGTTTAGGCAGAAACGCCTTCGAATGGGTTAATCCTGGTAATTCAGACCAGTACGTGAGTCTTCTCCCCTCTGCTCAGTACGAGATAGTTGTTTTGGCCGCACTTGCGGTAATCCCAAAGTATGGTTCTGGTCCTGTAAACAGAGATTTGGTTCCCTGTTTGGCGAGGATGTCGGCATTCTCGTTGCCCTCCACCCCCTGGTGTCCAGGCACCCACAGCAAAGTAACTCTGTTGTTTGCACCCAGGTATTCTATACAGGTCCATACAAGTTTGAAATTTATCTTGCTGGAGCTCAGTGCTTTTAGAGCAGCCTGACTGTCTGTAAAACGGAGCGAATAGAAACTGGCAACATCGTTTTTTCGTTATTTCAGTCGAAAATATGATTGGACACCTGTGCATTGCTGAATAAACTTCATGTACTAAGGTCAGAAAAAATCAAGATCTAGAAACTTGGTCCAGACATAACTTAATATGTCTCATTAACATAATTTCATTCAAAATTTCAATATATTAGGTAGTTTTTATCACATATAATTTTTAAACAACTACCTATATATAACATATCTCTTTTTGTGTGTACTTCCTTGCTGTTTCTATCGACCTGCTGTTTCTATTCACCACATTTTTATGGTATATTTCTTTTTCTTTTTAAATTTTGAGCTATCCACAAATTTAATTATTCAATAAATCTCCAAATCCAAAATATGGACAATACAAGAATTCATCATACTGTCACCTTGTATCATAACATTATCATCAAAATGGTACCACCTTACCTTTAGTAAGTAGACGTTCATAACTTGAACATAAGAAATAAGGGGCTTCTAACCATTACATCTTTCCGAACTGAATATTTCAGACGCTCATTCAGTTATCAGATATGGTTTTTATGCACCCGATTTTGAAAGAAATAAGATCTTCGAATGTATCAAAATTCAAGTTGATTTACAAAATTCATTCATTACACGCTCAAAATTAGATTTGGAACATACTATATGAATTACCAGCTATGTATTAGATACATTTCAATTAAGCTAGGTTATACTCAATTCCTGAGTATTTGACTGTTTCATCTCGTCAGTAATATACAGGGTGTCCCTCCGGGAACTGCATCGATCTATATATAGAAAACCATAGGTGGACCGAATTTGAAAATTCGGGAGTTTACTATTGTTGATAAGTGCTATCCGGCTAAAATATTTTGAAGATTGTGGCACCACCGGTTGTACCGGAAGTCGACCCCAACTTCGTTATTTCAAATGGGACACCCTGTATATTATCAAGGTTTTAGATTCAACGCATGATTCTGAACATGTTCCATGTATAATGTCCTATACCCAAGTCTAACCGTTTTCGAAATATTTCAAATTTTAAGTTGAAAATTGGATTTGCGTAAATTCTAAAATACATAATATACAGGGTGTCCCATTTAAAATAACGAAGTTGGGGTCCACTTCCGGTACAACCGGAAGTTCCACAATCTTCAGAATATTTTAGCCGGATAGCACTTATCAACGATAGTGAAGTCCCAAATTTTCAAATTTGGCCCACCTATGGTTTTCTATATTATATTGATCGATGCAGTTCCCGGAGGGACACCCTTTATAGGTACACAGGTTTTTTGTGGGTTAAGTGAAAGAATATTCTTTGTTATGCTCTGGTACAAAAATTGTTTTTTATTTCATTTTATTTTTGTAATAGTTTATCGAAAAAATAAAGACAATTCATTATTATATATTATTATTATCATTATTATTATTATAAAGTGGCTTTGCTAACTTTATAGAGGTATTTTTTTGTACTGATGTAAATGTTCTTTGATTGAATATATAAATGAACTACAATTCCAATGATGTCATAGAATAAAGTATGGCATCACCAATCAGGTTAATGGCTCCTTGGATGCAATCTAAGAGCATCAGCGGATGTTTGGGTGCTAAAGATCTTGATCTTGACGCTTCCTGAATTAAAATATGGAAAAATGTGTAGTCAGTAGGCTGCAGCAAACCACAATAACAACAGCCAGCATAATGAAACTGAATAATATGGAAACCTTCCTAATATTCTGAAATGAAATTAGATCATTATTTAAACAATTGAAAATTTGTTAAGTAATCTTGACACTTTCTAAAATAAAATGAAAAAATTTGTAGTCAGTAGGCTGCAGCAACCACAATAAAAACAGCCAGCATACTCTACTACGTCACAGCGGTACACTAGCCGAGGGTAGGAATTGCAAGGGGGTGGATGAATGAAGGGCATCACCCCAAGTTTCCTAGAACCCCGGAGGATGAACATCTAAAATGGCTGTACCTAAGGGTCAGATTTCCACGAAACTCGTTCATACCTCGTGTTCGATTCATCACACAGAATTGTTAGTAATCTAGTGATCGGTGTGTTGAGTGTCACGTTTTTAGTTTCATCCAGAACGATCGAGAAACATAAATATCATCTTGATTTGCAATAAGTGCAGGTAAATAATCAACAGGTCATCGGAGCATATTTTTCTCAGATTCAAGCAACCGCATGCAAAATCAGCATCCAGTGAAATCAAAACAAGTAACTGATAAGAGGCTGTTTATCGACTGAGCATATCTTTTAGCCCAGTCTATATAAACTTGAGAATAGCAAAGAGTGAAGCGAGGTGAATAGAAATGGAGAGAAATTGTGGGCTCACTGGTTGAATGTTTTGCCAGACTATTATTATTACCTGTTCCACACTTGATACAGAAAACATAAATATTAGGAACAAGGCAATGGCGTGAAATGTTTAGCGAGCTTTGAGAAATATCAAGGTTGGAAGAACCATATCGTTCATTATTTTTTTAAAAAAGGTTGCCTCGACTTATCTAGATAGTCATAAAGTTGATCAAGGTTCAACAATTCTGGGGATTCAGTAATACGTAGAAATGAATCATCTTTTTCATCCGAAGAAAATTCGACGAATATAATTATGTACCCATGTTTACTGCAATTCGACGCCAAAATTTATGAACGAAAACTAGCAAGCAAAACTACTCAAATCATGATTAGGGCTTATAAAAGAAAACTACAGTTCGGTTCGACCAGAAGTTATACCTATACTTACTCAACTATATTATTTGAAATGGGAAGCTTGACTTTTTCTAAAAAATTAAAATTGAGTGATACTACTTTTTCAAACAATATAATACAATAATAGTCCTAATCTACCAACTACTGATATACAGAGGGTGGAGATTTTAACTGAAATGAATTCGCTAGTGGGGAGCTGAATGACGTCTCAATGTATTCATCACATTTTGCTGGCAATATGAAGAATATAGACTTCAGGGGGAGCTGAAATGTGCTCCAACATGTTTTTTCAATGGCCCTATGGCTTGGAAAAATGGTTGAAAGGGACATCCAGCGTACTGATACAATTTTAGTTTGGAGAACCTTTTAGGATTGCATCAAATCAAAACAATAGAATATCCAAGTTTATTAAATCTGAACGAATTTTCATCAACATTTCGAATTTTAACAATTTTCACCAGTCTGCAACAAACACTTCGTTTCAACCTGTAAATACAGCATACAAACAAAATTTTCTTTTTGGGGCTTTGTAGAAATACATAAAATAGCAGATATCAGTCGTGGCACAAACTTTCTTATAGCAAGGTTCGTGGAGACATCTGAAAATTAAGGTTAACATACATTTTGAGCAATTGTTACGTTGAAGATAAATCCAATTTTGATATTATATTTTGATTTTATGCAACCCTCAAACAAAATGAAAACTGAGATTTGATCAGTATGCTGGATTCCACTTTCCATTAGCTTTCCACGAGCCATAGGGTTGCATTAAAAAAAAAACATGTTGAGGGTGGTTTCAGCTACACCTGAAAATTTTCATATTGCTTGAAAAATGTAGGTAAATAAATTGTTATTCAATATCTAGTTGCGAAGCAGTGCGTTCATCTACAAAATGAATAATAATTAATAGAAAAGATTACAATCTTTGAGAAATCTTTCGATCGAAAGTGATTCGATAAACGGTTTGAATAATAATGGTGCGAAAAAAAATTAGGTTTGAAAAGAGGGCTATCGTCGAGGGGGTTACCACTAAGGAAGTTCGTGAAACAGGTCACGAAATGCAATTTCTGAAATACCATGAATTCCTTGAAATGCTTTGAAATTCCTTTAAATGCCATGAAATACCTCGAAATGCAATGAAATGCCTTGAAATGCTTTGAAATATTTAGATATGACATAAAATAAAATGAAATCCCATTTCTGAAATACTATGATGTGGCTTGAAATACTTTGAAATTCCTTAAAATGCCATGAAATTTCTTGAAATGCCATGAAATGCCACGAAATGTCTCGAAAGGCTTTGAAATATTTTGAAATGACATAAAATAAAATGCCATTGCTGAAATAGCATGAAATGCCTTGAGATAATTGCGATACTTCAAAGTTCCTTGAAATGCCATGAAATGTCCTGAAATGCCATGAAATGCCATGAAATTTCTTGAAATGCCATGAAATGCCTTGAAATGCCTTGGAATGCATTGAAATGTATCGAAATATTAAAGAATATTTTTAAATATGAAATAAAATGGAATGCTATAAGGAAATGGTACAAAATGTCCTGGAATGCTTCGAAATACCTTCGAAGTCATGAAATGAAATGAAATGCTTGAAATATCACAAAATGGTTTGGAATACTATTGTCACGAAATGGCTTGGAATGCATTTGAATGGCTTGACATGTAATGAAAGGTCAGAATAAAATGCTTCAGATACCGAATCTATAGAGTTATCATTTTTGTTAATTTAGTTGTTTTCATTTGAAGACAAAATATTTTACTTGAAGATGAAATGAAGCGTTTGGGCAAAAATACTACTTTTTATTTCACATCTTGGTGTAGCTAATGGCCCACACAATGGTGGTTGGACTATTGGGTATTATCAAAGGTATAATACTTATTATGTGATGTGAGAACCAAACATTTGAAATTCCATGGAATTTCTTGATGAAATTCGAGCCTTTTTGGTTGGTAAGTACTGGATAAAAAATTCCCTGTTGAAAAATCGAAATGGTAATAAAATTGTAAAATGCCTTTGAAATGCAATTCAACAAAATTTTGTTTCTCAAAAACGTGATAGTCTAAGACTCCGTTTTGTATTTCTCTTAATTAATTTTGGTTATTGTAAATGCATTTTCAAGGTTGAGTTTGAAAACAGCGTAAGCTGACACTCCGCCCTTTCACTTTGATCCCACTTCGACTCACAAAATTTATATGTAATTATTTATTGTTTCCTCATTGTGAATAAAGACGCTTTATTATTATTATTATTATTATTATTATTATTATTAAATGGATGAAATGGGTGAAATGCATTTTGAAATGGATGAAATACATGAAATGCTTCCGAAATGAATGAAATACTTATGGAATGGATGAAATGCATGACATGCGGAAAAATGCACTTTTTTACCAGTGGTAACCCCCTCGGCTGTCGTAATATGATTCTCCTAGTAATTTCGATATGGTTTAGTTCCTGTATTTACATGAAAACATTTTATTTTGAAGGTATCTGAACCTAATCAGTGTTATAGTTACTCTTATTCCATTCCATATGGTTTATTTTTTTGAATTTTGATTTTCAATATATTTTTTGATATTTTTTATATCCTATCTATTTTTATCAAATGTTCAGTTGTATTTGTTTGTATTCGCGCGGTAGCTAAGGTCTGACGTTGCGATGACATGAAAACTGCGGGAAAACAGGTCTTAAACTTTCAATATCTAAGTCAGGAATGTTTTCCTGTAGTTTTCATGTCGTTGCAACGTCAGATGACCTTGACTAGATTCAGGAAAGAATAGTAGATCGTATTATCAATTGAAAAATTGGTTGAGAATTGAAAACAGAAGAAGAAATGAGGGAAGGGGTCGCAGGGGCCCCAAGAATTATTAATAATCTTAGGGCCCCATAAATCGTAGATCCGCCTCTGCCTATATTCACTACGTGAAGTAACAAATAATCTTGTGGAATAAGAATAATAAAGAATTGTTGTCTTGCGGAACGAATTATTTGAGAAACGTAGTCACTGCAATGAAATTCTTAATTTTTCAATGTGTAAACAAACATTGATCAACCTTGAGAGGTAAAGTTCAAAAAACGCTACAAAGGTTATAATTAAAATTATATTCCATGATATGCGGTTGCTCCTTATATTGCAGATATCAAATTTGAAAGCAAACTTTGTTTTCAACATTTACAATAATATTTCCAGGAAAAAAGAAAGGAATCGATCTCCAAACATATTTTCTTCATCATTATTGACTCGTAGTATAATCTACTATTATTTGTGCATGGTCATCAAAGAAATACGTTGTTACCAATTCCATTTATTCTTCAAAACCGAACGAAAAAAAGAGGTGGATGAACACCATATAGTCCTGTCAAAAACTCTTTTTCTTTGTGTATGGAACACCCTCGGGAACACTTTGCACTCTTCAAATTTTTTTTTTTTTTTTTTTTTTTTTTTTTATCGTTTGGAGCGCACGAAAGGGAATCCCTATAATGTTCAAAGAACATCGTGCGTTCCTAGGGAGGATAGGGACAGGAGGTAGGTATTGGAATTTTTTTTGAACTTTTGGAGATTATATGTTGTTGGGAATACTTCCACAGGCAATGAATTCCAGAGCCTAGCCGTTCTATGGATGGAGGAGTCTTGATAAAGTGCTGTTCGACATCTTTCGAGGTTGACAACGAAAGGATGTGCTGACTGGGCTTGTCTAGTTCGTCTGATTGGCATTGCTAGTGAAGGGATGATAGCAGAGATTTCCGAAGAACATTTCCCGTGGAAGTATCGAACGAAAAGTGAAAGGTCGCCGACCTTTCTACGGTGTTCCAATGATGTCAAAGAGTGAGTGAGTGTGGCGTCACCCACCAGGCGAATGGCTCTTCTCTGGATGGAATCTAAGAGCATCAGCGTATGTTTTGGTGCTGAACCCCATATGTGGGAACAGTATTCTAGAACAGGCCGTATCTGCGCTTTGTAGATCATGAGAAGCTGTTGAGGTGTAAAGCAGCTTTTCGCACGGAACAAGAATCCGAGTTTTTGTGAAGCAGCTTTTGCGATGGATCTGACATGATTATCCCATGAAAGAGTGTTGCTGATGGAAACACCGAGCATAGATATGGTGGGCTTGGTGGGGATGGTGGAGCCAGACATCACAATATCGGGCATACTGAGTTCCGCCTTTCTAGAGAAAATGCAGGCTTGAGTTTTGGTGGCGTTAAATTCAACTAGGTTGTTTGTTCCCCAGGCTGTGATTTCAGCAAGATCTTCATTGACAGCATTGACCTGCCTGCGCCGTGAGTTCTTAGTTGCCTGGGAAGAAATGGGAATTCTGGAAGAGAACGCAGTATGGAGGGTACTATCATCTGCAAAGCTGTGGATGGGGCAAGTTGTTACTCCCAACAGATCATTGATATGAAGCAGGAATAATGTTGGTGCCAAAATTGATCCTTGTGGAACGCCGGAATTGATGCCAAAGGTATCAGACGATACACCGTCCACCACCACGTGAAGCGATCTGCCTGAAAGAAAACTCGATAAGAGATGGCATAGCTGAGGTGGTAAGCCGTATGATGGTAGTTTGTGGAGGAGTCCTTCGTGCCAAACACGGTCGAATGCTTTCGAAATGTCCAACGCGACAGCTAGAGATTCCCCGTGTTTTTCTATTGAAGATTGCCATAAATGGGTGACGTAGGCAAGTAGATCTCCAGTAGATCTTCGATGGCGAAAGCCGTATTGTCTATCATTGATGATTCCTGAGCTCTCCAGATATCTGATAAGCTCAATATTGATGGCTTTCTCCATCACTTTGGAGATTACTGATAACAGGGCAATGGGCCTGTAGTTGTTGGGCAGGTTCTTGTTCCCTTTTTTGGGGATTGGTTGGACTCTAGCTGTCTTCCAGCATGATGGAAAAATACCCGACCTGTACGAGATGGTAAACAACTTGCAGAGAATCGGTGTTAATTCTGGTGCACATTTTTTGAGGATAATGGGTGGAATTCCATCAGGACCGTTAGCCTTATTCGTTTTGAGACCAAGCAAAATTCGTCTGATAGTGCGTTGACGGAAGACGATTTCGGGCATTCGACTCTCAACGGGTGGAATGTCTGGCGGCAGTTTTCCTTGGGAATCTAAAGTAGAGTTTGCTGCGAACATCTCTGCAAAAATATTTGCTTTCTCCTGCGATGTTGTTGCTAACGTGCCGTCGGATTTGGACAGTGGTGGAAATGAGCTATTAGTGAAATTTCTTCCGACCGCTTTAGCAAGGGACCAAAACGAACGAGAGCCATTGGGGCAATCTATGAGTTTCGATCTTATCTTGGCATTGTATGTTTCTTTCGAAGAATCTATTGTTTGGCTGCACTTATTCCTGGCATCAACGTATTCTGCTCTAGTCGCGAGGTTAGGGTTTTTGCGCCAGCGATGGTAGGCTGTTTGTTTCAAGGCAACAGTTCTAGAACAGTTTTTGTTGAACCAGGGTTTCGAAGGTGATGATCTTTTCGAAAAATGAGGTATGTATGTCTCCATTCCGAGCATGATGATCTCGGATATTTCCGCAGCACACTGTGAAGGGTCCTCAGAGTCAAAGCATACTCTATGCCAAGGAAACTCGGAGAAAAACATGCGGAGACCGTCCCAATCTCCTGAATTGTAATGCCATATAAGACGTGGGGGTGCCGGAGCAGTTGATGGAATGAAAAATGGGCAGGTTGTGGAGATGAGTGTATGGTCAGAATTGCCAAGTGGAGCTCGTACATCTATGGTGTAGGGTGCTGAATTATTAGTGAGGAATAAGTCAAGTATGTTAGCTGAATGGTTATTGACATCGGGAATTCGTGTGGGTTCTTTGATAAGCTGCTCTAAGCCGTGAGTGATGGCGAAAGCTTCGGCTTGTCGCCCAGCTTCATCCGTTCTGTTAGAGTGTACGAGCCAAGCAGTGTTGTGTACATTGAAATCGCCCATGATGATGATTTCTGCTGCTGGATGGTTCTGTTGGATTTGGTCAAGCTTCAGAGACAAGAAACTTGCGCCCATGAATGTTTTCCCCTCTCATCCAAAATGTTTACAAATATATAATCACATATTTTTTGCACGTACAATTATAAAAAGTAGGTAGGTAATTGATGATTTCGAAGAAAACACAAACAAAATAGGGGTGGATTGATCTTTTTTTATTTCTCAATTAGAATCATCACTCCAATACCTTTCAATTTCATATTTTTTATGAATGTTTCGGTTGATTTTTAGGTGCGAAAATCATCAATAAAGCCACGGTTATTTTCAAACTGCTAAAAATTTACCGCCAGTAAAAACTTACGCCACGATTTCCTAAGTAGAGGCAGACCATAGCACAGTTGCCATATGTTGAAATACGATTAGGAACTTCAGAAATATTAGTTATTCAATAATTCATAAATTCTCAATTGAGTATTGGTAATATTTCTAATTCTAATTAGCAATAAAAATTCAATTGTCTCAAAATGTTCCTTTATGATTTGTGGCATACTGCATTTGAATCAGTGAACGTAATAACACGGCGCACGACATGTGGACGTGGTCTTGTCAGTTCTCAGCATTCAGCACAAACACAGTATACACCATACCCAGCGAGCACAAAAACATCTCAGAGATGTTAAAAGTACGAGATTTCGAGACATTGAACCTCCACTGCGATGTTCTGTTCACACATGAATAGAACTATTATAGAACAGCCAATGTCCGCCGCAGGCGGCAATTATCGAGATGTCCTTGATATGTCACAAAACTACCTTCTCCCTAGTTTTTTTTAAAGCCTTTTCATGGGCACAACTTAACATTTTCAACGCGTCTTGCGCACATTAAATCGCTGTAAAAAAAACATTTTCGAGGTACTTTTCTGAAGCTTTTTGTCAAAATGAACTTTTGCATTAGGATTCCATTTCCCTTGAATGAAAATGCATTAAAAATAGATTGAACATAAAAATATTTTCTTGATATGAAATTACCTTCTTAATCGGTTTCTGAGTAGTGCTTACTACACACAGACATATAATTGGAAATAGGTTTCCCAATTTTTGAAATGTTCTCCACAATGCATAATTTTGCAACTGCGGAGAAGCTGTGTATTGATAAATTCGTACTTTCATATATTGATTACACTGAGGCACCGAACAACACATCTTGCATCTGATGGTCATTATTACAAACTAAATAAGTCTTCTAACACAATAAACTTCACCAAATTCCTTTCTGTTCGTTAGCAGCGTGATGTAAGCGTGACACGCTGCAAACGCGAGTGCCAATTGCGAACAAGAAGAACAAAATCGAAAACAAATCAGAATTCATCGTATTGTGACGTAAGCATGAGACGTTGTGGTGGGGCAAACAAAGAAAGGGCACAAAATAACAAAAACAATACTTTCAATATCCTTCTGAGACCTCTTTGGGAAGTGCATATTACGCCTCAAAAAAACATCCTCATGCCTACATTTCTAAAACATCCCAGGGATACCTCTCAGTAGGCAAACAAAGAAATGCCACAGAAGAACAAAAACAATACTTCTATATCCTTCAAAGACCTCTTTGGTCAGTGCATATTACGTCTCAAAATAACATCTTCATGCCAACATTTTCAAAACATCCCAGGGATGTTTGTGCTCGCTGGGTAGGGTGTATACTGTGGCACAAAGTTGTCAATAAGTCTTCAACATTTATATGATATTTTGTTATGGAGAATAAGGAATATTTGTACATGCTGGTTGCCAGAAAAAGTCAAGAATGAACTATAATATCATGGGTTACTCCTATTATGTTTTATTCAACGACAGGACTCTTACATCTTTCTGATAACTTGATTATAATTGGTGAATTGACAACCTTGCTTCATGAGTGGAAATGAAAGATTATCTGACCAATAACGAAACAGCATAAAAACTGACGTCACCATTTATTCGACGTATCGTGGACGTATCGCCAAATGGCGGCCATGAAGCTTCGTTTGAGATGAGCTCTAAAATTCAACAATTTCGAACAACGCATAGACTCATTTATATAAAAAAATGAGAAGTGGTGCAAAAATTTATTTAGGTTCCTAACAACACAGTGGAGCAATTGAATGCCAATAATTCACCATCAGTCCACTCGCCCAAAGCGGGTAACAGTGAAAAAATACATAGAAAAATGCATGCGGTTGTAAGAACATGAGAAAGTTTTATATTTGGGAGACACTTTTGAACAACTACTCGAACATACTGAATTACAAATCATTGGCAATAATTATTTTTAATTTCATTCATTGAAACCCATGTCTCAAAAATGTTTCCCTAATCCTGGTCGTGGTGCATCACCCGATGCTTTTACCAACACCAATTTCTTCAGCAGATCGTCCTATCAGCGATATGCCCCAATGTTACGTCAGCTCTTGTTCGAATTATTACGGAAAAACGCGGGGCACCCCCGGCATTATCTATCACATGGTACCAGCGTCACGTGACATGACCATCAAGTGGGCTAGAGCTTGTGGCAGGAACGACAAAATACCCCCATCGTATGCCCGCGTATGCAGCAACCATTTTTCAGCAAAATGCTACCAAAGGGACCTGCAACACGAGCTGCTTGGTCTGCCATTGAGGAGGAAACTAAAAAACGATGCTGTGCCTGATCAAAATCTGACCGGAAACACAAAGCAATTGGACGACAAATCCGTGCCAGGAAACGAGAACACTAACTGCAGAAGTCTATTGAAAAATAACGTCAACAATTGTACATATCTGAAGCATAGCAACCAAAATTCGAGAAACGAAAAGAATCGAAACGATGCTGACGACATTAAAACTAATGACAAAATAGTCTTGAAGTGCAAAAATAATAACAGATTCAACAAGCGACCTATGAGATCAAGTATTAGGATAGCAAAGAAGAAATCCATCGAGTTACTGAGCGATTCTTTCACGAGCAAAGTCAACAGCAAGAACGAAAAATACAGTAAACCTGAACGTTTTTCAGATAAGCTGAAGTTCATGGCAAAATTGCAGCTGAAGTATGAGAAGAACAGGCATGTAATTGACCTCGACACATTTTTCGAAAATATCACCAATGGTGATGACGTGGAGGCCTCTGATAATGGCAGGTTAGTATCTTCAAAATGTTACTAAATCTTAATAATAAAAATAATCAAATTTTTTGAGTTACCAGTATTTGAAACGGTCATTACTCTGGATTACCTTTATAATCAATATAGTAAACAAGAAAACTGGTGGCAAACGTAAAAAATATATTGAAATATTGTGTGTGGCTTTATCGCCCAGATTCGCGGGTGTAAAGTAACACATTATAGTGCCCTAGGGCGATAAAGGAGTACAGCGGGCGGTAAAGTAGTCCGGCGGGCGTTAAAGTAGGTGATCGAGGAGCTAAAATAATTTCACTGATTTTCCAGTAAGTTCTAGTAGATTACCAGTCGTGCAAATAATATGTGGTGGCCGGCGAAGCCTCGTGGTTGAAGCGTCAGTATTCTATCCACCTTGGATTGCCGGTAGGTTGGTTCGATTCCCACCACGACCGCAGCAATTTTTCTAATGGCCTAAGAAAAAGTTTGGGATCACACGTTAAAAGGTCATTCCTTGCTATAGCACAAGTCTCTAGAAGACTTTTGAGGGTTGCTCGTAAGGGGGCAACCGAATGATGGATAAGAACAATTTTAGAACAACTTTTAGAAAAATATAATATGTGGTATGTATTTCGAGCTTTCATGGACACAAGCATGTTAATAGCCCTCGCTATCGGTACTCGGACTCTTACTTACACGATGCGTTCCATAAAAGCCTTTTTCACGTTCTTGATAAATAAATAACTATTATGTGAATATTGTATGTGTTTACTCAATAAAAACATTCATTATATCATTTGTATTGGTCTAGACGGATAAAATGATTTAATTCTCTAGTTCCAATCGAAGTTCCAATGTTATTTGAATTATCAGGACAACTGCCTGATGTTAATGATTTTTTCTGTTTGAAACTGAAAATCGTTGTTTACAAAAAATCATTACTATTATTATTATTATTATTATTATCAACATAAGTAGAAGGAATATTCGCCATATTCGAATATGCTCACTAGAGGGCACTTACTCACATTTCAGGATTTTTTTTAATCTTTCGTTTTTCCTGTACATGACATCATCTTTCGATTTTCGAATGGAACACCCTATATTATATATTCCATAATGGGTTAGAGATTATTACAACGAATTCAACAAAACCGGGTTTGAATGGGTTATTTCTAACGATTACGAAGATATTCAAGAAGTTTCGATAAACTGAATGGGTGTGACGGCGCAATATGGAAACTTGTTTTTCTGTCACACTCATTGAGCTTATGAAAACTTCGAACGCGAATATCTTAGAAATCGTTTGAAATATCCCAATCAAACCCGGTATTGTTGAATTTGTTATAATAATCTCTAACGGATTATCGTGAAAATACAGGGTGTTCCATTTGAGAATCGACAGGTTGATTTCCTTTCCAGAAGAACCAGAAGATGAGAAAAAAATCCTAAAATGTGAGAAAGTGTCATCTAATGAACATACCCGATGTTCCAAATTTCAGGAACATAGCTAGAAAAACGAAGGAGAAAAGGGGGGTGTACCATAAGCCAGCGTCACCTGGTATAGGTACTGATACCTTGCAGGCGTCACAAATTGAAATGCTTACGGCGGTAAATTTGTTAGCAAGTTTAAAAACAGCAATAATTATTCAAAAAATGTACGGCGTAATTAGGATTGATCCCTTGGGGGGATGTCCAGGTCCAATATCCAATATTTAGCCAAAAGAAAGGCAATACGTAACTAAAGTTGGTTTCAATGAATGAAAATTAAATTCCCGTGATAGTCCATTATATAATTGTTTACCAGATTGTTCAGGTTTTTCAGACAGCTCTGGGGGGGGGGGGGTCCAGACCCCATCGACTTCCCCTTAATTACACAGTGGCATCATTTCAGTGAATACCAGGGGAGGGGGTCAAGAAGCCCAGATAACATTTTTGCAATGTGAAAAAGGCGCTGCAGACGAAATTTATTTGGGGTTTAAGGTCAAATGCTTTCAAATTGAAAATTAGATTTCTTTCAGAGTCACAACTCCATTACAGGGTTTGCCAGAAAGGGGTTCAAAAAAAAAATTGTAAGTCATACACATGCGCCGCAGTGAAAATTTTTTTGGGATAGGAGGTCAAATGCTTAAAAATTGAAAATCAAAATTCTTCCAGACTGACAACAATTCCATCACATTATTATATCATATGTTATTCAGTAACAGGTTCTTGGTTTGTTACAATTGATATAAAATAATCTGAAAGTAGGAACAATAAGAAAAGCAAGAAAACATTATTTTGGATAGGTACCTATACTGTCTGTAAGTGACCCGAGCAGGTGGTCGGATTTTCCCGAAAGTTTTTGGGAGCAAGAGATACAGACTCATTTTTTCAATTCACTTATACATTTTTTCATCGTACCTGAATCAAAATCTTTCATTCATAATGGAAAATAAGTCAATCATAGTGTACCTAATTTTTACATTTTAGTTTAGGACAATTTTATGATTCCTTATTCAGGATTATTTATGTATGATATAACACCTCTACTATATTATACTGAATGATGTTTCAACAATTTTGTTCAATTTCAAGTACCTACTGATACTATACTGATGATGTATATTATGTGGTTACAGGAAAAATCTGAGTAGATTGAACATCAGGGGGAGGCAACCATACATCTACAATCGCTATTTTCATTCTCATGTGGGCGGACATATTCAGAAAGAAGAAGTAAATGTATGGAATACCTCACGTTTCAGTAGCGCGATCTAGTAGATACCTAGTTAAAGAATACCTATTAGCTCTCACTGCAAATTGGGTCTTCTATCATGTTCGATCACTAGAAATGTAGGTAATTGCTTTATTACTAACAAAACTGGTAACGTAATGGACACATACGATACTCGTCGATTCGAGCTTATCGTCCGACTTCCTTTTCCAAGGCCCTCTAGAGGGCAAAATTTCCAATGGAAACCTTGAACCCAGAACAGAACAGTCGCCGACGAGAAGTGGCACGAGGCCAAATCGAGACAGAAAACCGCATAATTTTGTTTGGTAAAGTAACTTCGACCTTTATTTGACATTTGTTTGTTTGGAAGTTCGTCCACGGGTCAGGAGCGTATTGCAGGGAAATTGGCAAAGGCGGCCAGTAAACAAAATGAAATGATCATAGACATCCCGGTAAATATTCACCTTTACATATTTCATTCATATAACGGTTTCCATCAGAAGTCTCATACCTATATGACGTTGAAATGTGCTTATCAATTGGTACATTAAGATTCCGTCATATAGGGTAAATGCACCAGTAGTCGACCAGTCAACTTATATTTTGATTTCAAAATTCCATAATAAATCTAAGAAATGTTAATAAAACTTCGGGAATTGTGTTGAGTCCAAAGATTTGAACTGAATTGATATATTAAATACCTACTGTTAATTTTATAAATACTCAAGAAACATAAAATGTATAGAAATCTAGTAGTCGACCGCAAAAAAAAACTAAGTTCGACTGGTCCTCTCCCACTAAAGTCGACCGACGACTCATGGTGAATTATAATACTGAAGAGTTTGATATGACAATAAAAAACAATAAAATTTTATTCAAAACTAAAAATACATCTCGAAATACACCTCGTGACAATTCCTTTGGATACTTAAAAACTTTTTGTGCTGTTGATACTCATTTTGAGGGGGTTATCACGTTCCAAAAACTTGTACACCAAACTTCCCATATGGAAAAACTCCCCAAACTTCCTCAGACTTCTTAGCACTTCCCCAAACTTCCTCGAACTTCCTCGAACTTTCCCAAACTTCTCCAACTTCCCCAAACTTCCTAAAACTTCCCGAACTTCTTCAAATTTCCCTAAACATCTTCAAATTTCCCAAACTTCCTCAAAATGCCCTACCATCCCCGAACTTCCTCAGAATTTTGGAATCTCCTTCTTGATATTGAAAGCTGTTTTTCTAGTTGTGTTATTGATTATTGAGAATGATAATAACTTCGAAAATTAGTTTGTCTCTATATACCAAGGGATAAATCACGTGGGAAGTCTAGTGTACCCGAAACGGGAATTCCTGGGGAAGTCCGGGTTGTTTTTGGGAATTTCAGTAATTCTTTGGGAAGTTCGGGAATTCATTTGGTAGTTCGGGTAATTCTTTGGGAAGTCCGGTAATTCCTTAGGAAGCCCAGGAATTCTTTGGGTAGTCCAGGTAATTTTTGGAAATTCCAGGTGTTCTTTAGGAAGTCCGGGAATTCTTTGGGTAGTCCAGGTAGTCTCTGGGAATCCAGGTATTCTTTAGGAAGTCCGGGAATTCTTTGGGTAGTCCCAGGAATTTATCAGGTAGTCCCAGGAATTCCCGAAATTCTTTCGACGAAGGAAGTCTAGTGTACCCGAAATTGACCCGTGATTTACCCCTCGGTATATACTTAAACTGATTGTGCAAATATAAAGCAACGGTGTTTGCACCTTTGGAAAGATTTGATGAAAAATATGTATGATTTCAAATTTCAAGTGGCCAAGGGGAACTGCTGGAAATTTCGTTTGGCGATTCTCGCAAAGGGTAGTTTTTGGAACCCCAAATTGGCGAGCGGTAGCTCGAAGTGACATTCCTTTTCTATTTTTTCCTAAAAGTAGCAGTCAGAGAAACTAGTGAATATTGGTGTATTTGCGTCGATTATTTTCAGTCAGTATTTTCCGAGGCATTTTCTGAAACAAGAATTTTCAAAAACCCATCATTTCGAACAGATCATAATGCTTGAAATATGCATTCAAAGTGAGAGGTCGGCCACTGGTTTCAAAGAACCTGTAGTCGATCTTTAGGTCTTCTTACCTGGACGACTATTGGATTTTGAATAATTTCATCACAACTGAGTTATTCAGATGATAACGCATTCGAAACTTAAGGAATCAGGCAAATGTCATAATCTGATAGAGGTAACTTCCAGTAGTCGACCGACCGGTGGACAATAGGTTTTTTGCGAAAATTACGATCCAGAAGTCGACAACAGGTGAATAAAATATTCCAATTGAAAT